CAATCTCTCTCCACAATATTTCCAGGCCACTGAGGCAAGAAAGTAGCCGAGGAGATGGAGTAAAAAAAAAAGAATTAAAGAAAGACACATGCATTTGTCTTCTGTTGACAGAGTCTCTGATACATAGAAAGTAGAAAGTAGGTAGACTGCACAACTTCAAATTATTAATATTTGCAAGAAATTAAAGCCCTCGGCGTTGTTTATGGCCTGCTGAATTTTCGCTTTAGGATTTCTATGGTCTTGTTTCCTTGCAGATATGAGCTTGTTAAGACTGATGTCTGATCATGGACACCACTGAACAACAGCACTTCAGACCCACTGAAAGATGCTACTGAGTTACATTAGAAATGTAAGATTCTGGATGGAGTGTGGAGCTTGAAACGTACAAATTCTACATTTGTTGCTCCAATTTTGACCATTCTTTGTTAAAATGTGAGAGGCGGTAAACTGCTGGAAATCCCTTTTACTAGGCAGTGGAGACAACAGAAATAAATACCCAAGCAAGGAGTATCGAGACGAGTGAGGGAGAAAATGGGAGTATCCACATGTGGAAAAGGAGTGCAAGAAACAATGGGTTCTGCCACATTTCTTTGGGTAACTGTGTTTGTGTTGCCATTTTTGTGCGTTTTAAAGTATTTGTGTTCCTGTTTGTGTTTGTAGGTGACCCTTATGTCTCACTCGGCCGTCCTTCAGAGAGCTCAGCCGTTCTGTGGAGGATCTCTGCTCACTGAATTTTGGGTCATCACTGCAGCCCACTGTCTGGTCCAGGCTGATGTGGCTAGTAAAGGTTTTATCGTCAGAGTAGGTAGGAGAAAAGAAATGCTACCTGCATTCTTTAGTACTAAATCTTTTATCTGTATCGCTCAAGTGCAGATAGCATGGTCTTAATTATTACAATTAATGTCAGTAAAGTGCTCTGTTGGATGTATTTGATACTTTTTAGGATATTAATTAGGAAGACACTACACCCATCACACGCATTACCTGGTGCAGGAACGATATATTTTTGTTATACTATGTTGATATATAAAACTTAATCTTTGTTTCCAGGTGAACATGATGTAACAGAGCATGAGGGTCCAGAGCGAGACCATGTGGTGGCAGAGCAGCATTTGCACCCTTTGTATGATTTCAGCAAGTCACAGTATAACCACGACATTGCACTGCTAAAGCTCGCCAAACCGGTGGAACTGTCCAACCAGCGGCGTCCCATCTGCCTGGGCCCCAAAGACTTCATACAGAGCCTCCTGAGGGACTCCAGCACCTCCCTGGTGAGCGGCTGGGGACGGCTGAAGTTCCAAGGCCTCGAGGCCACCAAGCTCCAGAAGCTGGAGGTCCCCTACGTGGACCGGACCCTGTGCAAGCAGAGCAGCCGTGACCACATCACGCGCAATATGTTCTGTGCAGGCTTTTCAAGTGAGCAAAAGGATTCCTGCCAAGGCGACAGCGGCGGGCCGCACGCCACCAATTACAAAGGCACTTGGTTCCTGACAGGCATCGTCAGCTGGGGGGAGGAGTGCGCCAAGGACGGGAAGTACGGCATCTATACACGAGTGTCACGGTACTACACATGGATCAGTCAGAAAACAGGGCTCCGAATGACCAACTGACACATGAAGCTGTCAACAAAACACACAGTAACAGCTGAGCTTAGCCACTGAGGAAGAGAAAATGTTTCCTCAGCTGAATCACGTGAGAAACTGCACATTTTAATTTCCATTTCTGCAATAAAATGTATTCAAAATATCATAGTATTGGCATGTCTCTGGTGGAATATGACAAACATTTCATCTACTGTAATCCTAACTAGATTAGGTTTGTTTTCCTCTGATGATGCACTCATTGCAACCACGCAGCATCCCTCCTGTTCTGCTCCTTGTATAATTTCACCAGTCAATTGTATAAACAGGAAAACACAGTAAAATAAATAAATAAATAAATAATCATTCAGTCAAATGTTCAGGTCCATGATTGCACAAAAATAAATTACTGATGTCTTTCTCATAACAGACATTTTGATTTGTCATATCAGGAAAAGCAAAGATCTAAAAGCAGATTAATGACACTTTTCCTTCTATGCTCTGCCAAAATCTCTGGTGCAAAACAAGCCCATCTGATTCATCTTAAGGCACAAATTGCAAGTATAGCCTTTATCTTTGAAATCAATTGGTAGTGAATTGTGTTTTTACCAGTGACAAAAGTGTAAACCTTCTTACCTTAGCAAGTGCAGCAACACTAACAGCTGTGATAGGTTAGTCATGCAAAGACTGTAGATGCCAATAAAGAAAAAAATAACTGAAAACGCCTGCATATGAAGCTTTAAGAAGCTCGGTAAACCTGCATAGATGTAAACCATCTTAAGAGAAAAAAAAAACCACATCAGTCACTTTAAGTCAAATCCAACAGTCATGTGCTTATATTTCGGAAAATAATCATATACATTTTGCATTATAATACAAGCGTTCACTATGATTCAAAATATCAAAAAAGTGCAAAATGAGCGAAAGCAGCGAACACCAGTTTAAGGTACTGTGAGAAAGACACTGAAGCCTGACTGAATGAATCCATTTCTAGTTTCTGATGTTCAGCCAGTGTTGGGTGGATTTCAAATCAGTTTAATGTGATGCAATATTACTTGCTGTTAAATATCAATGGACACACTTCATTTAGATAGTCCTGCACTATCAAGTGACATTAATGTTCCCACTGTGGGTGTTTATTACTGTGAAAATTGTTCTTCATTGAGCGTTAATCTTGGATGATTAGATTCAAATACTCCAGAGATACAACAAATACTTGAAGAATCTACATTAAACTTGACACATGATAGCTGAGTATCGTCGTCTGACTGACCAAAGAAGTGTTACCATTTAGACGGCTACTGACTAAAATTGTGTTTAACATCTAAAATTAGGATTTTTACCATTTACATATTCACAGTTTACAGTAGTTGTCTTCATATTTAGCAATTACACTGTGTCTGTCTGCCCTTTTAGAGATGAACCCTCAGCTCATTTGGCGGCGAAGTGGCAGTGTTGTCATGACCACTTTTCACACATAGTTTGAAAGCTTCACAACAGGCTCCTTCTTACAGTGCAGGGAAAGTCCAACCGGGCAGTTTTAACACAAGGCAGTTTGAAACAAATGTAAATTTTCTCTTGTGATTCAATTCAACTCTCCCGAATTTTGTATTAACAACTAATGAAGTAATCCACAATGTAACTGTAACTGATCAGTTGGCAATAGCAACTCTACATTACTCTACTTAGCACTATAACCCAACACTGAGCATAGTTACCCTGTTGGTGCAAAAATAGCAACGCAGGCAGAAATAAAGCGTTAGACGTGTGCAGAGATCTGTCCATGCAGAGCGGCAAACAAACCAAAATAAACCTTATCTCGTCACGTTAATAATAGTGCTAACTGCAGGTGCAGCAGGGGAGGACAAAGATTTGTTTGATGGACAAAGTCACAGAATTTTCATCCATCAATCAAAGCTCAACAAGAACAACACGTTATCACCATAAATAGCAGCAACTGTAACAGAAATGAAATCACTTTTGAAGTTAAATAACAAGTGAGCTACAACAAGAAGCTACAACAGCCAGCGTAGGTTTCAGCAAACTCACACAGTTCATCTGGAGGAACTGACCAACACTGTAGGAACGATCCTTACCACAGCTTTATACAGAAAACATTTTGACTTGTCATAGCAGGAGAAGCAGCTTACACCATCAAAACTGGCTCTTTTATGCTAAAGTCCAGCATGTCTCAACGCACAATACCTGGGATGTAAAATTTTGGCTTAACAGAATAAAATTTGGTCATTGAAAGTGCCCTGAGGGGAATTTCTTGTAAACAAATGAAAGTTGTGTTTACATTCAAGTGTTGCTCACAAAATACATCATATGTATCCTGAAGGTCAATCAAACATTCATCATAGAGCGTTTGTGAACGCACAGCATTGTTTATGTCCATGATTACAAGCAAAGTCTTGTTTCCTGATTTTCTTGGCACACTGCTCATATCCACATATAGGTCTACAGAGTAGTGTAAACCCATTGGCAGGACTGTGTATTGCACATGTGCAAGAGACAACTAAATGGGGACCTACAAGGAAAAACTACTCCACAGGGTTACTAACAGTCAAAAACTCCACTGGCTGCCTTTAATGCACAATAATGCAATTACTCCTGTAGCATTCCTGCTGTGACATGTCGAAATGCCAGCTATAAAAAAAAAAAACCTAAAGAGGGTATGTAATGATTTTTTTTTTTTTAACCCACTACCACCCTCGCAATCACCTCTGAGCAAAATCAACTCACTGCAGTTACTATGAATTGCAATACTCAAAGCCATATTTCCAAGTTGTCATTGCTTTTCTTCTCTTTGCCTTTTGTGTATCATGAAACTGTGATTCACAGATAATGATGGTTCACTTTTGCCACAAAGAGGTGGCAATTTCTGCATACCTCAAGTACATATCCTCTAGCGATGTAGCTGGCTGCTGTAGCAAAAGGCAAGTTTAGCTAAATTCGAAACAATGACACCACACGTTAAAGCTATTTACGATAACATATTGGATTTACACAAGAAGAAGCTGCTGCTGCAATGGTTAGCTTAGCTGTTTGGCACATGAACAGTAATGATATGTTAACAGGCATACCAATGATCTCTGTGATATCTCATAAGAAAATAGAAATCATACAACTTCCAGTCTTAAACAAAAAGTCCACTCTGTAGGTATGAAATAAAAGCCCCTTTTCAACATCTTCAGTCCAACTGATTTACTGTATTACTGCCAAAAAAAGACAGATCAGACGATGGCTTGTATGTGCTTTCTGTTAAGAGTCTTCTGAGGTCCATTCTGTAGTTTACAGCCTTTTGAAGTGAAACTGTCACAGTAGTTTGAAGAGCAAAGTCCCATATGTGGCTGATGTTGTGCTTCAGACTGACTGATGAACGTCTCGGTGAAGTCTGATGCTTGCCTTGGGTTGGTCCGGAAGCTGATGGAATATATGAGTCTGTGTGTGGAAGGTATTGAGGCATAAAGTGAGTCAAATAAGCGACAAACACAGGAGAAGACGAGACACACATCATGAACACTGTGTCATCTATCGTCCGTTCTGATTGGTTCTCAGCAGGTTTCTCCCAGAATCCTGTGCAGGTCTTCGGGTAGGACGCGGCCTTCTTCGCCACGACTTATATTCCTCACCATCCTGTAATCACACAAAATACAAAACAGATGCACAAAGAGTCTTTAAGATATCTTCACTTAATATTCTCATTTTCACACTTGTTTATATTTGAATTTAAATTGGGTGTAATCACTATTTCTGAAATATGTGGTCTAAGTTACCACATTCCTGACGATTCCTCATGCAGAAGCTGGATGACATCACCACAGTTGAAGATGATGTCGTCAGTGCTGGCCATGCTGCTCTCCACCATGACTCTGTACCTGCCGGCCACCTGAACAGAAGAAACATCATTAAAACTGTGCATTTCAACACTTCCATTTGCACAACAATCCTAAATCTATGTCTCCCAACAGATTCAGATACAATTCCCACTGTTGACTGGTATTTTTCTTTTTTACCAATTATACTAGTACCCCCTCCCCTGTGTTTATAGTCCTCTTGTGAATTATTTGTCTTCAATATCCTTTTTTTTTTTCCCTTTCCCCTCATCTCAACCGGTCAAGACAGACAGCTGTCTTCCTTGAGCCTGGTTCTCCTGGAGCTTTCTTCCCACTAAAGGGAGTTTTTTTCTTTCCACCACTTCCAAGTGCTTGCTCAAAGGGAATCACTGATTTTTTTGGGAATTTCCTCTGTCATATAATATTGTAAAGTCATGACTTTAATATGTGAAATGTCCTGAGTTGACTCATGTTGAATAGGCACTATATGGTTTAAAATGAACTGAACTGAATTGACCTTAGGATTAGGTAAAACCCCCTTAAGATATTGGTCATGACACAGTACTGCAACAAAAATCCTGTGATAAATGCTTTGTCACAGTCACATGTTGGTCTTTAGTACTATTGACTGGCTGACAAATGTCAGGAGGTGGGAATTATCTAGCAGGAGGCTGCAAAAGGAGGAGAATAATTAAGGAGGACGGAAATAAAAATCACAAGAAAGTTGGCATGTATTGGAACAGTAAGGAACTTATTGTTGAAAACACAATGGAAAGTGATAAATAGCCCTTATTCTAGATGTATTTGGGTTTCTGTCTAGTGAACTGACAGTTATTGGTGTACAACTGGTAATTCATGAGAACTCTAAAGCCCGATTGGTGAGGCGACACATCAGGAGGTGAGTTGTTGCAGTCAGTTAGTAGCTGGTAGAGTTGCAAGACCTGGTGGTCATGGATTTTCCTTGACACAGCAAAAAAAAAAAAAAAAAAGTCCAATATTACATGTGACAGTAACAAAATCTCACCAGTGGAGCAGGCTGATCCTCGTCATCTGAGTCTGATAAGGTGGAGAGGTCTGTAGCGCCCCAGTCCTCCAGGCCTTCACAGATCGCCACTGAGTGAGCAGGAACAGGCCAACCTGCAGGCGACAGACAGCTGAGATGAAAGACAACTAACATGGTACACTTTTCACTGAAGATCTATGTCTATATGCTGTAAAAGATGCCAGATTCTTTTTAACAAGCTACTGTCTGTCATTACCTTTCCTGTATAGTCTATGATGTAGGGTTTCACACTTGTTTTTTACATACATTTTCATTTGTTACTATGTTTGTGTATCTTAGGTTTACCTCTGTGGGAGGTTTATATTTTCACCTAGGTGCAAGACATATTTCCCCCTGAGGACAATCTAAAGTTGAAGTTAAAAGTTAAAACACATCACTTAAGATCTGGTCGAGCCCAATCAAAAACCGAGTGTTTATAACAGCAAAAAGTAGCAGTTTTTCAGGAATATGTTATACACAGGGCAAGAAAATTCCTGTTCTTGTAATATGTTTGGGGATTTGGAGAAAGACTGTAGAGAAGGAAACATGAATGGAAGATACTCTGGTATTAAAAATAGCCTAGCAAGTTGCAGGCTACAATTCAGATTGATGATAGCTGGGGGGCATTTCGCAGCCTGTTCCAGACAGACAAGAACACCAAATCTAATCATCTCTAAACGCGAATCCTCATGTTAACTTTAAAAGTCTAAACGACAGGAAAAAGTGCAGTCAGGCAATTGTATCCAAGTCCAAGCAAAAGAATAAAGAATACACAGCACAAAGAATATCCAATATGGCTTTCTTGGCGATCAGTTAAAACAAAAAAACACAACAATGTCTTCTGTAGATTCAGAATTAGATATTTTTGAATCTAAGTAAAGTAAAAAGACAAATAAATGAGACTGACATGAGCTGGGACACTGTTACCACAAAAAAAGTCTGTAAACTCTTCAAATAAAGGGACCATCCTCAACTGTAGCCAGATTCTAGTACACTGCTGAAGAATTTTAAGTCCTGTAACCAGTAAATCTTTCATGAAATCTCAGAAAATAAAAAAAGAGTGTGTATTCGTGACTGTGTGTTCCACTTTGAATTTGGCTCAACAACTCACTGCGCCGTGGTGAATGAACCACAGGGTCTGAGTGGGCGGGGCTAGTGTACAGTGACTCCTCCCCTTTCATCCTGTGGGAGTGGCTTGTTGTCGAGGAGCTGTGAGGAACAGGGAGACACGCTGAGCAGCCTCCCACCGACGCTCCGCCCCACGACACACACATCTCTGATGCACTAAACCGCATCACCATGGGAACAAGACACGAGCAAAACAAACAAAAAAAAAAAACGAACAACAACAACAACAACAACATCCACAGTGTCACAAAAACGAGCTCATACCTCATCCACATTCTGTAAAATAATACAGCATTCCCTTCAGTTCACGGTCGCATATATTTCAGCGTCTCATTTCCAAAGCACGTTTGAGGTTGTAACGCGAATCATTTGCATCAGAGATCGCTGCAATATATGAAAACATCATGTTGTTTAAAAAATATTCCACACACACATACCAGGACATGATTAGAGAGCATTTGAAAATAATCTACAGTGTAGTTAAACCTGTTTTAGGTAGTAGATGGGTGGAGTTTGTCCTATTTAGTCCGATGAAATAGAAAATGATGGCAATCATGGGAGAAGTCTGATTGTGCTGAAGCCTACCCATCTACTACATAAAGCAGAAACACTTTAATTACTAACAAATACTATGTGACCTACACAATATTATGTCCACAAACCATTCAAGAAGAGGCAATCATTAGTAAGATTAAAAAAGTCCCACAAGCCGATCATGGCTAACTCATGATCACATACTCTGAAAACTGAATTGTGAGTCTGTATGAATGTATTTACTGTAAAGAAAAGGCTGATATTATTTACTATTGTCAACAAATCCCATGTTAAGATTCAAA